TTGGCACAAATTACAAATAGGGAAGGAGAACTTAATTTAATTTGAATTTTAATTGGACAACTTATTAAATAAGTAAATTGGATAATTTAAAGAGTAAGCAACAGAATCCTAGAGGGATTCTCACAGTGATGGGTGTGTACACCATGTGGACTCCTCCACATGTATGTTCTAAAATTTAAATTTAAATAATCATATTATTTAATTTATAATTAATTCTCAATTAATTATTCTTGAGTGTTCTATTTAGAATTTTATAATTTTAAAATTCCTATTTTACCCTAAGTATCTCGTAGGATTACAACGACGATTTGAGACTTATGAACCTATAATTATGAGCTCTAATAAAATTAATAATTAATTAAAATTTTTTAATTAATTAATTAATTCTATTAATTCTAAAAGTTACTCCACTATAAATTTGGAATTACACTTTCGTAATTATAGATATAATTTACTTCTAAACTATGAAGTCTCTATTTAATATAGCCATTACATATAGATCAATCATCTATAAATAATTTATAATTAAAATTAAGTAAAATATGTTAACCTCTTTAATTACATATTTATTTTTGAGTATTATTAATTCTCTAATAAATAATGATTCATAAAATAAATTCATAAATCAGAACTCTTACTAATTTAACCACCGAAACAGCAACGCCATTCAACGCCTCACCTATCTTCGAATTTATTCATGCCCCGAGCTCTTGTGCTTGCCAGAAGAAAGCTCATCCAATTCTCTTAAAAAGTTGGACATACATGAATGTCCTTTGCTGGAATTTTTACAATATCTTATTTATAGAGTAGCAATCAGACTCTAAGAAGAATTTTAAACTTCATCTCCAAGATAAATCTTGATGATTATCTCCCCCTCCTATCTTATTTTTGGTAAAAAAATCTCCTCTCTCTCTTATCCTATTGGGCCAACCACCTCAGGAATATTCCCCCCCGTGGTTGGCACAAATTACAAATAGGGAAGGAGAACTTAATTTAATTTGAATTTTAATTGGACAACTTATTAAATAAGTAAATTGGATAATTTAAAGAGTAAGCAACAGAATCCTAGAGGGATTCTCACAGTGATGGGTGTGTACACCATGTGGACTCCTCCACATGTATGTTCTAAAATTTAAATTTAAATAATCATATTATTTAATTTATAATTAATTCTCAATTAATTATTCTTGAGTGTTCTATTTAGAATTTTATAATTTTAAAATTCCTATTTTACCCTAAGTATCTCGTAGGATTACAACGACGATTTGAGACTTATGAACCTATAATTATGAGCTCTAATAAAATTAATAATTAATTAAAATTTTTTAATTAATTAATTAATTCTATTAATTCTAAAAGTTACTCCACTATAAATTTGGAATTACACTTTCGTAATTATAGATATAATTTACTTCTAAACTATGAAGTCTCTATTTAATATAGCCATTACATATAGATCAATCATCTATAAATAATTTATAATTAAAATTAAGTAAAATATGTTAACCTCTTTAATTACATATTTATTTTTGAGTATTATTAATTCTCTAATAAATAATGATTCATAAAATAAATTCATAAATCAGAACTCTTACTAATTTAACCACCGAAACAGCAACGCCATTCAACGCCTCACCTATCTTCGAATTTATTCATGCCCCGAGCTCTTGTGCTTGCCAGAAGAAAGCTCATCCAATTCTCTTAAAAAGTTGGACATACATGAATGTCCTTTGCTGGAAAACCGGTACCGAAAAGAGAAAGGGGAGGGTTGGCCCAAGATTTCTCACATCCCTCGTGTGCATTACTCTGCACTTTCCTTATCCTAACTCTTCAATATTATTCCAGTCACTTCTTTCTTTTACTGCATTCTCCGATGGACCTGCATATTTAATAATCTTCATGCTTAATTCCTGTTAAATCATTCAACCATTCATTTACATCGTTATGTCCTTGCATATCAATACTTTCTCTCTTCTTTTCTTTTTTTCTGCTCTTAAGATTTTATTATATTCCAATCCTGCAGGGCTTATGAGTCCGGTACTCAGTGATCAATACGTGTCCAAACATGTTTGTTCAGTGCAGGCTCTTTGCACAAAAGAGACAACAACAAAGAAAACTTCATGAAGAAGGTAACTTCACTGCAATACGTGTGATATCTTTCTTGTTGCCAATTATATTAACCGTGTTGTTTCTATGTTATGAACACTTGTTTATTAATCCGCACTACCTTAATTTGCACAATTAAGCTGTTTTTGAGGTCTAGACTATTTCCATTTGTCCATCGTCATCTTGTTTATAGTCGTTTTTTTTTTTTTTTTCTTTTCAAGTCAAAAATTTTTGTTATCAACTGTAGCTTTGCGGCTGAAACGGGTTGTTTAGCATCTAGGATTACAACTACAATTTCTGTGGACTTACCTTTCACGGTGAATACTCATTCTGGTTTTCATTGCAGGGAATTGACATTTGACACAATGCTAATGATGTGCTTGCCACTCTTGGAATTCCTTACTACCTCATGTGCTTGCCGGAAGAAAGCTTACTCAGTTCTCTTAAAACAGCGGCGCGAAGAAGACAAAGGGGAGGGTTGGCCCAAGATTTCTCACATCCTTCATTTGCATATATACCAAACAAAGGACCTGGTGAGTATTCTACACTTTCTTTATCCTAATTCTCCAATTTTATATAGTCACTTCTCTCTTTTCTTGCATTTCTAATAATCTTTATGCTTAATTCAACGTGATCATTCAAACATATATTTCCAAACTCATGTTCAAAAAGAAAATTTACATGGAGAAGGTAACAGGTAACTCCCACTGCATTACACTTCACATTTATCAGCGAACTAGGTCGGATTTCTACTCATTGCAATTGTAAAGATGCTGTTGCTATGCTTATGGACACTTGTTTATTGTTTCTCCCTACCTTAATGTTAGAGAATTTGAGTGTAGATGGTGAAAAGAATGCAAAAAATAAGAGAGAGTTTGAGGCGTATAAGAATACTTTCTTTTAAGGTTTTATTTGCCATTACTTTTCAAAGTTTGCTAATGAGTTTTAATGATAAATTATCCTCAAGATACAACAAATCTTTGAACACAATATCTAACAATAATATTGAGTTCCAGAACATTCATACAAGTCTGTAAATTTTCTGGAGAATTAATAAAGACAGAGGTAGCATTTCATGAATGAATGCATTATCTTTAAACATTACAACTATTCACATAAAGGTACATTTTCAATGTAAATGTATATTTTCATGGATTAATACACCTATTACAATAGTTATATCTATTTTTAATTGGTGTTTAGATATGTATGAAAACATATCACCAATGGATGTAATGGTTCGAAACGTTTTAGATCATATAAACTTATGAAAACATTATTTTCTGCAGAATTTCCGCTGCAACGAATGTTTTCCCGCTGCAGCCACAAACGGACCCGAGACTTGCAAACATTTCGGCTGCAGCCAAAATATTTTAGCTGCAGCCGGTTTGGCCAAATCAAGGCAGTCTGTCTGTTGCAGCATTTTGAAGTCCCTTTAACACGAGTTTTCTTGTTTTAATACTCAAACAACTTGTAATCTTGATCAAGACATATCACAATCTCTCTAACACTTAATGTGCACAATTAAATTCTGCTTTGAGCTCTAAACTGTTTCCATTTGTCTATATTCATCTTGTTTATAATCACCTTTTTTTTTTTTTTTTGTCTGAAGCCTGCAGATTTAGAAACGGCGGAGGGATTTTCATAATTTATTTCTTGCTATGTTAGAGGCGTGTTATTCTGTCTTAAATGTGAGTAACGGTCCTTGAGCAATGTTAGTTTTACAAGTAGTGCCAATTTTATGGACACAAGTTACACAGTGCTAATAATGTTCTTTCAGGGATGAAGAACAATTCTTGTAATTCTCTTGGTGATTAGTGGAATAAAGTCTCTCGGATCGACGGAAAGTGGATGTAGGACAATTTGGGTCATGTAGGACAATTTGGGTCCGAACCACTATAAATCTCCGGTGTTCTATAACAGTTTTTGTACCTGATTTTGTGTTTCTTGTGCTTTGTGTTTTGTGTTTTGCTGTTTGAATTTCTGCATTATTTCATGGTGTTGTAACCTCTGTATTCCAACAATGGCATGTGTAATATTTTGTACATGAATAGGGGGAAAAAAAAAAGACAGACCGATATTGATAAGCTAATAGTTTTGTTCTTTCTTCTTTATTTTTTTTTAAATAACTTTTTCGATTTAACTTGCTTCTTGTTATAAGTGTTTCTGCTTGTTTGTTCCCCAACCGATGAAACGACAATAGATTTTGTCATCGAACAAAAAGACATCAGCCTAACACAAACAAATTGGACAAACATATTACTTTATACTTGGAAAGTTTAAACTTTTTATTACAATATTTTCTCTTAAGTAATTTTAAATTTAAATTTTTTATTATAATATTTTTTTTCATGTAAATTTACTTTTAAACCCAAATTTTTAACTAGACTTATGGAAAAACAGGCTCAAAGATGACCCCTTTAATTGTTGAGAAAATTTTCAAAAAAGTCATAAAAAATAACACTATTTTATTTATGTTATTATTTTAATGTTTATTTTATGCCACTAGTAGTTATCTTTTACTAATTTGTAGGTTAATTTCCGTAAGTTGCAGATTAATTTTCTTCCATGTTGTTTTTTCTCTAATAACATATATGTTATCTTTTAATAATTTACAGATTAACTTTCTAAGTTGCAGATTAATTTTCATAACTTGTTATTTTTTCTCATAGTATCAATATTTTATGTAATAACATAAATGATAAATATGTAAAGAACAGTTGAAATTTTCTCCGGTTATATTGTCGTTGGTCATTTGCTCAACAGTAATGGAAACCCAAATGAAACAAAAAGTGGACGTACAAAACGCTGATAGTGTCCAAGAGGGCCCAAACCAAAACCATGGCAATGATGTCATACTGTCGTTCGAGAGGAGAGAGAGAAGATTACTAGATTCTGAAAAGCATCGAACATCTTCAACCTCTCCTCAACGATAAGAAAAAAATCCCTCTAATCTCTCTCGTTGCCAACACCAATCATTCACCATTGCCCCTTCCCGTCCACATCTCCCTCTCTCTCTCTCATTCTCTCTCTCTCTCTCCCCAAACACCCAATCAAAATCACCCCTCTTACACTTCAACAATAAACCCACAACTCCACTCCACAAAACACAAACACACAAACACACTCTCACTACTCTCTCTCTCCAAAAATGGCCTCCGCAGCACCCACCACCAGCCTCTCTCTCCTCCGCACTCGCTCTTCTCTCTCCTCCTCCTCCCCATCCTCCTCTTCCCCATCCTCTGTCCGCCTCCGCCCCACCGTCCTCCGCCGCCTCGGATTCTCCGCCGCCGACCCGCTCCTTGCCCTCACTGTAAACTCCAGAGTCCGGTCGTTCGGAGGGAAGAAGGCTGTGAGAGGAGTGGTTTCAATGGCGAAGAAGAGCGGCGGAGACCTGACCGCCGCTGACTTGAAGGGGAAGAAGGTTTTCGTTAGGGCTGACCTGAACGTGCCATTGGGCGACAACCAGAACATCACCGACGACACCAGAGTCCGCGCGGCCGTCCCGACAATCAAGCATTTGATCCAGAATGGGGCTAAGGTCATCCTCTCCAGCCACTTGGTACGTATGTTTCTGTCTGGGTTTGTTCTAAAGTTTGGATTTTTTAATCCAATTTTCTATTGAGTGTAGATGTTTATGGTTTTGCTTCCTTTTTATTATAATATTTGCTCTTCGATTGATTCAAAATGTGGGTTCTGTTAAAGTTTGAATTTTTGATGATTTATTTGGTTTTGTATTGAGTGTGCTTTATAATTTTCAGTCCTTTTTTTGTATAGTAATTTTTGCTCATTGATTGATTCCTAATGTGGGTTCTTAAAAAGTTTGGAACTTTTTGGATGATTTATTGGGATGTTTTATTAAGTGTAGATCCTTATGTTTCTGAGCCTTTTTCCCCCCCTGTAATATTTGCTTCTTGCGTGATCCATACAATGTAAGCAGTCATCCATTTCTGGTCATTTGAGATTCGGGTTTTGGAAAGCTCTTTACTTTCTTGAGTTGATTGTCGAGTTTACAAAAACTGAAAATGTTTCTGCCAGATTGATTTTACTTCTAAATTTGGTTTGGTCATGTGGTACTTTTCAACTCCTTATTTATTTTTCTAGTGATTATAGTGATGATCCAACTGATTTGAATTTTTTAATATATTTATTTAAAACAAATGTCTTTTGGTTTTGAGCTATATGTGCTAAATCAATTGCATTAACTTTCAGGGAAGACCAAAAGGTGTGACCCCAAAATTCAGCTTGGCTCCTCTTGTACCCCGTCTCTCTGAACTCCTTGGTATTCAGGTAAAATGAAATAATTTTTTAATGCATAACTAGTAAAGATCATTGTGTGGATCTTTCAAGTGATTTGGGCATTTGTACTTTTCTTGTTGTTTGATCAAACAGGTTGTTAAGGCTGATGACGTCATTGGTCCTGAAGTAGAAAAGTTGGTGGCTTCACTTCCTGATGGTAGCGTTCTTCTTCTTGAAAATGTGAGGTTTTACAAGGAGGAAGAGAAGAATGATCCCGAGTTTGCTAAGAAGCTTGCATCTTTAGCAGATCTTTATGTCAATGATGCATTCGGTACTGCACACAGGGCTCATGCCTCAACTGAGGGAGTCACAAAGTTCTTGAAACCCTCCGTGGCCGGCTTCCTTTTACAGAAGGTGGGGAATCCATTTTTTTAATAAAGCATTGAACTTTAGTAATTCTGCTTAGTTTCTCGTTTTCTTTTTACCTTTCAGATCAATTACTGATCATTTTGCTGTTGACTTGGTTTTTCAGGAGCTCGACTACCTTGTTGGAGCAGTATCAAACCCAAAGAGACCCTTCGCTGCCATTGTTGGTGGGTCAAAAGTCTCATCCAAGATTGGAGTGATTGAGTCACTGCTTGAGAAGGTTGACATCCTGCTGCTTGGTGGAGGAATGATCTTCACATTTTACAAGGCACAGGGTCTCTCAGTGGGTTCATCTCTGGTTGAGGAAGATAAACTAGATCTCGCTACTACACTCCTTGCGAAGGCGAAGGCCAAGGGTGTGTCGCTTTTGTTACCCTCCGATGTTGTAATCGCCGACAAGTTTGCCCCTGATGCAAACAGCAAGGTTTGTTCTCTGAGCTCCCTCACATTGTTTATTCCTCAGCTTTGTTGAGATTCTTTCTAACTCCTGAAATTTGTATTTATATATAGATTTTGCAATCTTGAGATACGTGGCATTTTTTGAGCTACTAAGGAACTGAAAACTGGTTTATGTCATTTCAGATTGTGCCTTCATCTGCCATTCCTGATGGGTGGATGGGATTGGATATTGGTCCAGATTCTATCAAGACATTCAGTGAGGCACTTGACACTACTAAAACCATCATCTGGAATGGACCGATGGGTGTGTTCGAGTTTGACAAGTTTGCAGTTGGAACCGAGGTAAACAAAAATTATTTGCTTGTGGCTGTCATTTTTCCTACTTTGTGCTTCAAAAGTGATGTGCTCCTCAAATCTGTTTGGTTACATGTATCAAATTATTTTTCTTCTAAAGTAATTTAAGTTATGCAGAGGAGGCGGTGGGCTTGCTAATTGATTCAACCCGTCTACAAATATGTCCTTTTGTTTGAAATTTTTTTAAAAATCTGGCAAAGATACCTGCGGCATTTTCGGAAGTTCAGTTTGAAATGTTAATTATCCCATTAATCATTGCCCTGCCTGGTTTAACTGCTATAACTATATTCGTGTGGTGATGAATTGATGTATTGACTTAAGAGTTTTTTTTTAATCTCTTACCTGCAGGCTATTGCCAAGAAGCTGGCAGACCTTAGCGGCAAGGGAGTGACTACAATCATTGGAGGTGGAGATTCGGTTGCAGCCGTCGAGAAAGTAGGAGTTGCTAGCGTGATGAGCCACATTTCAACTGGTGGTGGTGCCAGTTTGGAGCTGTTGGAAGGCAAAGAACTTCCCGGAGTGCTTGCTCTCGATGAAGCCACACCAGTCGCAGTGTGAGACAATCTTAATTTTATTTATTTTCTTTTTTTTCAACCCTTCCATTCTTGAATATTATTCGAGTTTGTAAAAGAGAAAGCTCGGTAGGGACATTTGCCTTGTTGTAAATTTTAAACGTTGCCTTTGATCCCTTCCCCTCTTCAACCTGTCTTCTTAGTTCTTACATAATAACTGCTACAAGAGACTGTAGATTTACAAGGAAAGTTATTCAATCCAATAAAGTGATATTTTTGTCATGCGCTTAAGGACAATGCCTTCCTTAATTCTTGGCTTCCAATTTAATTTTTTTTAATTATTTTTTATTTTTATTTTTTTTTGGTAAACTTGAGGTGCGGATTCAAATGTTAAACCTCAACATCAGAAGTAGGTGTGTGTGTATATAGCATTTTTTTTGATACAAGGCGGGTTCGGACCCACAACCTCTCCACCAGACTAAACATTCAAAGGAAGGCGTATGGTACCAAGTTCCCCTTTTTCTTCTTCTTCTTCTTCTCCTTTTTTTTTTTTTTTTTTTTTTTTAAACTACCCCCAAGTTTTTTGTTTCCTCATACATTTTTGG